CCCTTCCAATCTCTAATATTCTGTGATTTTGTGATTCTGTGATTTAACAAAAAATGTCAAAACTAAGTGCAATTTAAAAGAGATTTTAGTTCTTCAGGGAAAAGAGAAGGAAACAAACTAAAATATGCTTATCAGAAACAGATATGTGAAATAAAATACAGCAATGTTTCCTACCTATGGTAACTGCATCTTTATATCAATTTTAGGTAATTTAGGTCACACAATTTAGGAAACGTTGGATAGAAAATGTTAAGAAGTAGCCCCTCTACTTTCTTTGACCTATTGACAATGCCAACCAAGTAATGGTCTTACTACTTCTCAACATCCTTCTCTATTGCAGAAAACAACAGACAGAGGGAGACTTATGGATAATGTACAGCCTGTAAACTGCACCTTGCAGGGGGCGATCTTTATCATACGCTACTATGAAAGGCTTCTTACAACTAATGCGCAGTCCACAGAGTGTGGACTTGATACTACATAGTGAAGAGTCAGAGCTCCAAGTCTGCTTTGTCAGATTAAGAAAGGCTGTACAAAATTAATACCTCCAGAAAGAAAGGAAAAGAAAAAGTAGAGAAATACCTAAAAAAATATCTGACCTATCTTAGAATTAATCTGGAAAACTGAGCCCATAACAAGTTACACAGAAACTTCAGTTGTTGCTATTTTGTACGTTAAAAAACGCCACAAAATTGCGATAAAGTTACGACAAAATACAGACTCCTTCTGATGAAGCTGTTAAGAAACCCCTGTAGTTATTTATTTGATTTTTTAAAAAATAACCATTTAAAACTTTTATTTTCCTAATTTTGAAATCATCTTTCTTTTATTTATGCCATTAAGACTGAACAAGGTTGTAAAGAGAGCATCTGCCTGCAAGATAACAGAAAAAGGACAAAATAGATGTGGCCATGTCTAGCAATATCTCTCTGAAATGCAACCAAGCAGACAGCTGTATGATTACATTATTTATTTTAAGTTCCTGGCCAAGAAGCAAATCCCAGATTCCTTCCCTTGAATGATTTTGAAGCTCAAACAGTATCTGAGTACTTACTGAAAGGTTAGTGGTATTTGGAACATACTGATCCTGTTCTCCCAGTAGTACATCTATCACAGGGTGTCTCCCATTTTTTATAATTATTTCTCGGCGATTATCTTGCACAGTTGGTCTGCAAACAGAAAGAGACATTAATTGTAATGATCACTGTAACTGATTATTTAAGGACTACAGTAACTAAAGCCTGCAGGAGAGTCCTCTCTGATGTAGATTTTTGTGAAAAAATCCAAATGGCAAAAATAAATTATTGCTATCAAATATTTCTGAAGAATTACTTGGTTTCATTCAGTTATAAAAAAGCATTGTTGGTTGGATAAAGACTTTTTAGAACATTTTCTTCCTTTTTTTATTACCTCAGGAATATTTTCAGTTATTTATGTGTGCCCTAATATTAAGTGCCACCTTTTGCAGACACGTTTCATATTCTGACAATGACCTTGCTGATGAACTGGTCCAGCCTGTTACTGCATTAAGTCCTAACTGAAGCAGGGGGAGTAAAGAAAATTGTCCAATGATGGACATTATGACCAATAACACATTAAACAATACAAAACAAAGAATACAGTATGACAGAGCTCTAACTCTCCTACAAACGTAGCAGCTCTCATAATGACAGCAACTACAAATATGTACAAGAGTCATCAAACAGTAACAGCCTATAGAAAGACCTTACTATCTAAGTTGAAACACTGAAATGACAGTACCTTTTTACAAATTAGTATGCAAACCAGATCAATACTACTTACTTTTTTCCTCTCATCTCCAAACCACGTAAAAGTTTTGTCTGAAATGCTTCCATCTTAGCTACAAATTTGTCTACATATCTACTAATATAACACATATAATTCTAATTTACATATGTCCATGTCTGAAGAGCTGCATGTTCTTCACAGAAGAAAAAATGGAAAAGAAGCATGTTCCACTAAATTATCACTACTATTTCTTATTGTTCACTGCAACTTCGGTTTACTTTTTCATTGTAAACTGAAGCGCAGAGCATTCGATGGAGGGGGAAATGTGGTTTCATGTCTCAGCAACATTTTCTTACACTAGAAGTACAATCACTCTGAAATAAGAGCAGTAACTTAGGAAAGCAGCAGCAGCTGTGAAAGAGAGAATACTGGAATAAGGCCACAGAATTTTTTTACTGCAAATTACCTAATACTTTGAGCGGACTTTAGAGGGATGAGAAGATGTTGGGAGCGTGATTTTTCTTGGGTTGAAGGATGATGCAATTTTAAAGGAAAATGGAGATAAAAGAAATGGCATATTAGGAACACAAAGCACTGGGGAAGGAGGTGCAAGCTGATACGGTGTGGTTTATTTATCATAAAGATATTTCCAGTAGTTGTACAGCTGAGATGAAACCAATACAGGCAGAGTCTTAGGCCTTGGAGACAAAGAAAGGAAATTTCACCCTTAACTTCCTGGATGAATAAGTCGTTTGGAGCTGTAATGTGACAGTCTGAAAAGGGAAGAGCACTTCCTCCTGTACCTTTCCACTTTGCATTCAAGAGACGGAGATGACAGCTAAATGACCCATCTGCCATTTTACAATTTTTTGGAAATAATTCCCTTTTTTTTTAACTGCTCAAGCCTGCTTCCATGTAGCCTGCTTCCATGTGGCTGTGTGAAAGGATGTAGTTTCAGGATGTCATGAACCTTACTGACTGCCTGTTCTGGTTTCAGACAATGGGGCCTGCAGAAATGGGGTCAGCCAGTCATTCAAAAGGTCTTCCCTGCCCTGTGTTCCCACAGACAATCATGTGTCATGCAGTAAGACAAGAAGAGGAAAAAAGAAAAAAAAAAAAAAAGTAAATTGCTCTGGAATGAATAACATGTTCTCTAGCCACGTACTACCTTTTCAATAGCAGTCTGTAACCTTAAACAAATTCACAGTCTGCAGAGTAGATACTCAAACATCAGATTACCATCTCTGGGCTACCTACACCATCATCTTTAGGTACCTAACTTTGCTGACTGAGAGCCCTGATGTTATACATTGTCTGTGTAAAGGATGAGTCTCCCAACACAGGGGTCCTGAGCCACTTCAAAACTGTAAGACGTGCTTACCTCTCTCGAACAACTGTGTGGAGCAGTGACTTCACAACTCATTTACATGCCTCAGGTGAAAGGAAACAATCCTTGCTTAATCAAAAAATATTCCTCTGAAATACTTAAATTAGTTAATATGAAAGTCCCATCTTTCCTTCAGCAGCCCTCCAAAACTAATTATTGACACCCTCCCTGCAGCTGAAGTTTCACCAAGAAGTTTCCTTCCTGCCAGTTTATAAACTCTAAGCTACTCGTTAAAATTCAGTGAATTATTTAAACTCCACACAGTTAATTAATCAGATTTCTGTTTGGTTTCTCATCTGAGTATACAGAAATAATTGAGCAATTACTTTCAAAGAGATTTTGATAGAGGCACACAAGATCCTAAGAGTGCAGAAGTGACCGAATTATCTTTAATGCTGTATAAAAGCATATATAAGTTGATTTCCCTTCAACCACATACATTTAATACATGATTTATTGTATTTCCACAAGTCTCAAATGTTACGACGTCGTGTGGTTATTCCTAAGCAATTGTCCAAGCACTTGCAGTGTAGCCCCACGACAATATAATTTTAGAAGTTACACACAGCACTTTTCAAAAGAGAGTATGTGGACTGTCTGTCAGAGGGAATGGCTCAGGACTGGAAACCAACAGCCCTTGCAGAGGTGCCTGCAGTAAATCTCATAAACAGTAAATGCTGACCTCTAGGACAGCACTCAGCAGGATGAAGCAGTGGCTCAGTGACTCCCAGTGCCTCTGGGGACAGAGACCTCACGGTATGGAAGAAGGCATCCCAATCAGATTGACATGGCTCTGTGTGGGTGCAAGAGATGTGGGCTCACGAGGTGGGGAGGAAGACACAAGCTGCAGGGTGTACAGGCTCAGGAGTTAGCTCTGGGACAACCTGTGGCCAAGCAGGACTCCAAGGGTTCATGTCTCCCCACCACAGAGTGCAGGGGGGATAGCCGTGGCACCACCGGAGTCCCATGCTGTGCACAGGTGGGTCTTGGGCAGTAGGGGTGCACAACTCATCACAGATCTAAAACATGATCCTAGGTAAGGCATTGTCACTGCTCTGGAAGCTGCACTAATATTTACCTATTATTTACCCAAAATATATCTTTGAAACATACCTCACATAGTTTAGAATCTTAGGTATTAGAAAGACATTATAAATTCAGATGTTGCTGGGGGGGAAAAAAGAAAAAGTAAAAAAAAATCTCCATGCAAAGTCCAACATACATTTATATGTATGTGAGATATCACCTATTAGACTCAGGTCAAACAGTAGACAGACAAACATAAGTGGCCAAATTTGAACTACAATGTTTGCAGATTTGCATTAAGCCCAGAAGTGTTGCTTTGCAAAATCACATTACGTTAAAAGTACTGTAAACAATTTTAATAATGCATTTTATCGTAATACACATATTAAAATCAAATTTTTTTTAAATACTGCCTTATAATTCCCTATAAAATACAAAATAAAAATTAAAAATGTATTACCTGCAGTAGTCTCCTTGTTTGGCCACCTGGGCCAATGAGAACAGACAGTCCACAGTTGCTAGGTGACCAATTGCTTTAGACACAGGGTGATAATGTTCACTAAAATGACTATACCAAAACAGGGAAAAATAACAGGAGGAAGAAAAGAGAAAAAAAATTTCATACAGATATAAATGTACTGTCAAAAAATACCCCATGCATGCTTCTCATAGGACTTCTATGGTCTCTATATTACTGTAAATTCAAATCTCCCAGCAGTGTATTAAGTTGCAATATAAGGACACAATCTTAATCAAGATGGACTTCATGCTCCCATTGTAACAGTGCATGATTTTTAAGCATAAAAAAACCAGGCAAAAATAAATTAATGAGATAGCATATAAAGGGTCTGCAGTTGATCCCTGCTGCCTAAATGAGGTCTATAAAAATGCCACGGTTTTTCACAGTGGCAAATGAGTCCTAACTGCCAATTCACTTCAACCACAAGTTACAGTCAAAAAAAACCACAAAAACCTAAGAGTACCCGAACACAGGAGTTTTCTGCTATTTCAATAAAATATGTTATCTACAACAGAAAAATGAATAATTCATTTTCCACTTATGGTACTGTTTCCCCCAGTACAATAATGATGTTACCAGGAGAACAGCTTTCAGTAGAGTTAATTCTCTCAACCATAATTTCTAAAAAAAAACAGTAGGGGAGCAAAATACAATACACAAATAAACAAATAAAGGGAACGCATCTGGAGAAGAGTGCATTGGAAGGTTCTAGTTCGTACCAATTTACACAATTGCCAGTTTCCTAGTAGGAGGCAAACTTAGGCATCAGTTATGTCAAGCGAGACAACTTCAGAAGCAACTTAGCAAGTTTTTGCAGTGTTGGAAAAAAAGCACAGTTGAAAAGTGAGCCAATTATCATTGCATGACAAGAGGGACAATTTCACTGGGTCTGTAATTCACAGAAGTAAAAAAATAACTGATAACTAGACACCTGAAAAATTAAAGGTATTTGGAAGTTTGAGAAATATTTTTCAAATTCCCATTTTAAAGACCATTTGCTAAATAGTCAAATAACTCAATTCAAAACTGATCTGATACAAAGAGGTCTTCCGTGCCAGTTGTGAGGGCCAATAACACTCCCATTACTCTCTAGCAAACAGACTTACACTCAGTCACAAGGTTAGCATATAAAATGTAGGGCTATGGAGAACCACCATCACTCAAGTGACTGCCCAAACACCCTGAACATACCTACCTCAAAAACTGTAAATAATACTGCAATTGTACTTAATTTTTTTTTTGTAATGGCATACTTAGCAGCAAAGCCACACTCTATTTCAATTAATACTAAAAGTGAACTTGGTAACTTGCATACTAAATAATTTTATTTCAGTTACATTGTACTTCAATAATAAAACTACCAGATTCAGTTTCATTCATTAACAGTCAGTCATACTTTTAGGTTCCTAATGCTGTGATACTAGTTTTCCAGTTTTGAGAGCCACTTTATATACTTAATATAAGTGTGTTTTCATCAGAATTTTAAAATCTAGAGACATCACTGCTGGTCTCAAGACTCAGTCTGCAAAGGTCTTGCCTTTGAATACTTTACATTGAAGAACAATATTTTAATTTACTAACTTTAAAGTTGTTGTAGGCAACATAATTGAATTATCAACTTTTTTTTTTTAGATAAAGATCTTTCTTTTTCTGTTCTTATAGCAAAAATAAAATAAATTTCAATTATAAAAACTGACTCTATTTTGTAAACTCACTCTAAAAAATTTAGCCATTCAGCACTGCAGTCAAGGACTAGCTGCTCCCGGAGCTGATTCAGATGTCTGTAATTTTCTATAATAAAAGGAGAGTGGAAACGGCTGACAGCTTTTGTGCTGGAAGAGAGAAAAGCCAAATAAGAAATCAAGGTTACTAAGCAAGCAGTTACACTGTCTACATCCAAATTGGACTAGTTTTCTTATTCTCTGTGAGCCTTGAAAATGGATGTTTAAAAAAATGTTCTTTTATTGTGGTAGCAAACTTATTGATTCCAGAGGTCTTTATTGTGAATAAAGTGATTGGTTACTGCATCACTGCCCTTTCAGAAGGCTTTTGAAATGTTTTTCACAATGTAGCATGTATCACTGAAGTTTATATATTTCACAGAATTCTGCTCAGCAATATGCTGCACAAATGGATGACTTTTATGTGACTGATTGCATATACAACAAACTGCAAGACAAAATTTAACTTTAAAGAAGAAAACTTTGTGATAAGCCTGAAATAAGCTTAATAAATACAGACTGTCTTGATAGTTTCTATTTGAGGCACCTGTTATTTATTTATGTATTTTCATTAAGGTCTCACTTTAGCATTCTCAGGAATTCTTTTACAAAATCCAGATTAGCTGTAATTTGTTCTTAATCATCTTAATTCTAATTTGTGCACTTTTAATACTGAATTCTTGCATAAGTGATTAGAACACCACTTCAGAGATCACCTTGATTATGCCTGCTTCCGGTGTGAGATGTCTGTGCTAACATATTATACACCAGGCCTTGTACAGAATTCAGCATTTACCTGGACTCTACACATTATAATATTACGGTATGCAACCCCTTTAAATAAAAAACAAATGACTGAAAAGAAGCCAGTCCATCTCTGTTTCATCTACTGGAAAAAGTATCCAAAACTATCTAAAATCATGCTTACATAACAGAAAGAACCAAAGCAAGCAAAGCTTGTCTGTATGAATAAGTAAAATGACATTTTAAATACACTGAGTTTATTGAGATGCACAGATATTTGCACAGCTACTTTTACTTTTCTGAATAAAATAAGAACAATCAAAATTTTATGAAAGACAAACTACACGCACATCTGAATCAAGACCACAGTTTTGATACCGGTATATGTACTTTGAAAGATTAAGCAAGTAATATAGTGCACTAAGGATCTGCCATGTAAAAACAAATGTTTTAAGAACTCAATTTTTTTCAGTTTGGTTTTGTTTGCCACAACTTATTATGGCAATAAACTAACATAACAATTTTGGCTGGTTGGTTTTCAGTTTAAAAGAAAACCCAAACACAAACACCTTGAGCAATGAGAATATGTACATAATTAATTGCAATACCAAAATACCACAATTTTTTTCTTATATATTAAAATAGAACAAACTTCAAAGACATTTTACACACCTACTAACCATAACCCAGTCAGATGGCACAGATGCTTTATGGGAATTCTTGACTTCTACCATAAACTAAAATAAACAGAAATGTTATATTACACATCATGGGAAGTTAGGAAGGCTACAGAACCATAACTCATCATATATCAAGAAATCTGCATGCATCAGAGGAAAACCATATTCAGCTTGAAGAGACTGAGCAGAGCAGATGCTAATGTTCTTTCTCCCCCAGAACTGAGGATTATCAAATACACATTTTCTGCCAAAAGGGCAACTCCTATCCTGAGCTGTTCTTGTGCCCTACTATGTCACTGTCCCACCTCTGCCCTTCTGCTCCTCCATCCACTAACATACCTACTCACCTTCCCCTTACCAAGCCAAAACCAGACTAAAGCTAGCAACTATGTCTTGCTTACCTGATCCTGAGCAGGCCTCGTGGAGAATTCAGCACGTACATGGAATCTACGCTACATACCCCCTGTACTGAGGCTACTCCTTACCAGTGAGATGTGCCTTCCTACCTAAGGATCAGTGATTCACACTGAGCCATAGCTACCGACAAGACCTCAACATCTCAAATGCTAGCACTGTTATCTACAGTACCCGGCTTCAAGTTTGCATTAACTCAGCGTCAGAAAGGGAAGGAATAGGGGAAACCAGGAGTAATGGCAAGAGGGTCAGTGAACCGAAATGTACATGATGTCTTTATTGCGGTATTTTAGATGATTCATGTCGGTTATCTTTATAACACTACCCTGAGGCCCTAGATGTCAAAGAACTGAGGCATTCTCAAATAAAATAATTCAGCTGGAAAATGAATTTCTAGAAGAGATTAGATTAGCCCAGAATCTGACCACCTTTAGAGAAGACCACGATACTCTCTTCTGACAAAGCTTTTGCATTACAGTGAGTGTGATTCAGATAAAAACTTCCACACCTCACCAGAATAGCCATCAGTCACCTTCAAGTACAAACACGAAGAATAATCCTAAAATGAACACAAGACTCCAGAAAGGACATAGTACACTAGTTCTTAATTCACCTAAGACACTTCAGAAGTATTTGGTACTGTAGAAACCCTGAAATTGCATAATACAAATGAGATAAAATGACTGAAAATGGGTAGAAGCAAAGATCTGCAAAGATCTGAAAATACGCCAACTGCTGCTGCCTCTAGTGGTGTAGCTGATGTGCAGGTATTATTTTTTCTGAAGTTCATCTCAAAACAAATATGCTGTGTTAACAGAGGAAGACAAAAATAGTACCACATTTGTGTCTATGCTGGATGCCTAACTGAATTCCAAACTAACTGAATTAACACAGTTCAATTGCCTGGTTTGCTTGTGTGGCTAGTGAGAAACAAGCAGAGAGGTTGCAATCTTCTTCAACACAACAAAAGCATTTGCTTTTTCCATCCTTTAATTCTTAGCCCTATTACACAAATAACAGCAGTATTAAATAAACTGGGATTAAAGCACTGCTTATGCAATGCAAGAAGCAAGTATTTGTCAAATGTTGCAATTTCTCTCTAAATCCTTCCTGAAATGAATAGCAATACTATCCGTCTCTGGACAGCTTTCTATCCTGCTTAGCACACACTACAAATTACACTAGAGGTCTGGAAACAAAAGACAACATAGACATGGATGTAACCTCGTATTTTGGAAAAGGTATGTGTCAACTGGATCTTCATCAGAACTCTAACAGGAACTTAACAAATGCAAGTTAACAAACTGTGGGCTGGCTCTGAAAATCTAACCATGTATTCTTTATCATGGATTTGGGAGTACATACAAAGGAACAAACAGTTTGATTTTTTTTTCTTTTTTTTTGCCCTCAAAGAAGGCCTGTTCACTGAAGAGATGTTCATAGTAGGACAATACATAAAAACAGTTTCCTGGCAGCTTCTCTCTCTTTCAGAACTAGCAAACCACAAACCTGCTTCTGCTCAGGTCTGTTGTGAAGAAGCGTTTGAATACTACATCTATCAGACTGCTACAAGAACATAAGAATATACTATACAGATCTGAAGAAGAAAGAGCTCAACTCAGAGACTCTGCTCCTCCCATACAATTTCCTCTCCATTACTTCCATTCCTTTAGTGTCTTTCCATTCCTCACTGACCACTCAACCCTTCCTGTACTGCCTCTTTTGATGTCTCTGAAACACCCATACTAGATGTAATTAAGTAACGCCTATCTCTAACCTCTGCAGCTCCTTTCATGAATAAACCAAGATAGATCTCTTTTGACTGCAACGGTTTCTGAGCTGTCCCCTGCTACGAAGTCCTCCTTCCTTAAATACGTGCGTAGTGACTGGTGTTTTCTGAAGCTCTCCTGTCTAGTTCACATCTGACTACTTCCTCAGATGCTCTCCTCTCTTTGATTAATTCTTCTCTTCTCCTTCCCTTCACATGTGTCAGCATCCACCTCCTAATCAGGCATCCCTGAGTGACACCTTTAAAATCCTGGCTCTTCCCTTCCTCAGACAATACTCAGACACACCCTTCCACATTTCCTCTTGGACTTCAGCATCCATGCTGACGGCCTACTCACTTCTTTAGCCACACGTTTCCACTCCTCAACCTCACTATCAAAATAAATATCCACCCAAGGTCTTTATCAAATGCTGCTCTCTCTAATTCATCCCATCTCACATTCTCTCTCACTTTTAGCACTGCCTGTCTGTTCCCGGCTGTCTCTTGGGTCTTTTTCAGTCTCCAAGGTCCTCAACGCAACAGAGGGCTGCTTCCAGCCCCTTCCCTCCTTGTCCTCACTGATTCATCTCTTTTACCCCCAACTCTCATTCACTTTCTTAACTCCTTTCTTTTCCCAATTTTCTGCAGAATTTTCCCAAGCCTTCCTACTCTCAGTTCCCAAAGGACAATGCTGAACAGTGCTTCCTCACAGCTCCTTTCAGGTCCGCACAAATCTGGCAGGATCTGCCATGTGGTTTTTTTTTTTTTTTTGTACTGAACTTCTCAGCTCACTGGAGCATGGCCTGCCCACATCTAGCAAAAAAAAATCCAGCATTTAGAAAACCAAAGTACCAGTACACAATCACTATTTCTAAGAATTAAAAGTAAAATAACATTTATCATTCTTCAATACTTTTCCTCTTCTCTCCCATCTTTCAAATTACAGTCTTAATCAGTACTTACAAATCATTTAGCATTCTTCAAATTAATCTAATACTGTGCTTTCTGGTTCTCTGAGAATATTTCAGCACTTAATAGCCACGTAATTAACCCTGGAAGTATGCAAGTATTTCTACATATACAGAAAAGCAAAGCATTACTGAACCAAATTCAACTGCCCTAATGTGTTTTTATTATTTAAATTACCAAAGTAAGTGATTTAATAAATAAAAAAGTGACACTGTCACAAAACTGTTCTTTAAAGTTGTGTCAAAGATTATATTCAAATGACCTCATCAAGTATCATACTAAATGAAGAGAGTTCTAGTTAAGTGTAACTTTTAAGCTATTTTCTAGACAAGCAAGGGTACAGTCATACAGAATAGATACCATATTACCTCTTGACCAGAAACTGTAACATACTCTGCAGAAGGATTCTTAATCTGTTTACGAATGACCGGCAGATGCAATTGGATTTTAGAAAGCACATCCTGGATCTCCTCCTTTCTCTTCCTGATGACAGGGAAGTCTGTGAGGTCCTTGAACAATTGTGTTTTATCTCCAGTCCTATCCACAAGAAGGGTAAGGTAAAATAAGGGTAAAACCAAAGATACATTCCCCAATTCTACTGCTGCATCCATATCCTTATTTGTTATTCTCGTTTGTTTTAACACTAGCTTTATTCCCCTCCAAATACAGCTTTTCTGTTACTTGGTCACAGTACAGCACATTTACTGAAAGCTGCCATACACACAACATAAATAGAAAGGCACTTCATATATGAACTCCTTAAGAGGTTACACCAAGAAATGCCCCGTCCCAATGTATTCAAAACCAATCTATACCTGTCCCTTTCTAGTCTACCATATTATGCTCGTTCTTCTATACCAAACCCTGCTGACTCGTTTTTTTTGCCATCTCTGAATGTGCATCCTGCAGCTTTCTGTTTGTTCTCCCTCAGTCAAGCAGAGCATGTAAAGGAAGCACAAGAAAGATCACTCCCTTCTGTCTCAATCCATAATTCTGGAATGCAATTGCTGCCCCAACAAGGAGCATCCCAAGTGCCGACAACATCTTTATTACAATTAAATGTGAAGCTCTAGATAATTTCTGCATACCATTAACACAGTTTTTGACATTATTTAGAATTTCACCAAATTTGGGCAGATTTTCATGAGGATTGCAAAGAAAAATCACTCCCACAAGATTTTCATCAAAGAAGAAGGTCCTCAGGAGTTTTCTCAGAGTAGCTTCCTTCTTTTCTCAAGAAAAGATTAAACAGAACATTTTTTTACTACGTGCAAAACAATGCTCTTTTCTAGTCTTAATGTCAGAAAATGACAGAATTGTTTTGGCTGCACTGTCTCAGCTCAGGATTGAAACTCGAAACAGACAATGTCATTCAAATGTTTAAAATTGGGAAGCTGAACAAGCTATTAAAAATGTGGTTGTCATAATAAATAACAAAAATTTAACTTACAAGTTTCAGGCAAACAATAAAAAGTAGTGCAATCAGCCCTAACTTAATTGGAATATACATTTGTATTTTAGAGCAAATACAAAACTGTACCAGCTGATTACACAATTACCCTGAAATCTAATATTTGCAGAACAAGTAATTAGCAAACTGCAAGTAATAAAATATGGAAGTAATAAAAAGACAAATATTCTACCTACTCCAATACCCCTTTGCCTGCGAATGAAACTACAACTGGAGCCAGTGAACAGACAAGTAACACAAAGCTGTGCTTGATTCTGCATTACATGGTCGTAGTTATTATATAAGTGACAGTAAAGATGCCACTTTAATATACAATATTCATTTTTAGAAACAATTTTATGCTATTTAGACCTGTTTCCATGGGAATGCAAGGAAAAAAAGATTGCTAGTAGCCAGCATCTGACTGTGAAGACCGTCAATGCTATGTGATGCTTACCAAAAATTCAAAAGCTGACAGTTTAAAAAAAAAAACCAAATCTCAAACTAATTCCCCTGGAGCAGAGGAATACTTTTGAAAAACACTACAGGATTTTATCCACACTACATTATAAAACTAACATATGATGCAGTATACAGACATGTGCAAGTGCGTGTGTGCGTGCATGTATGTATATGAGTAGTCATCATGACTTTGATGAAATAAAGACTTTTGAGTACAAATAATAATGCCACACAAATTTGAGATATACAAAGACCAAAAGGTAAGTAATTTTCATCATCTTGAATAAATGCAAATTAAATATATGCATTCTACAGATCAGTGATGATGTCTTCTACTTATACTATTGTATCTTATTTCTGTATACTATTCTAGCCATCATCAACACAGTGGCAGGAAAAAAAAAAAAAACCAAACAAAACATTTTAAACCTACCTACAGTAACTCTGATATAATTAAAAAACAGGCTGCTTTGTCATAACCTGCCACAAGTGTAACTGGATGGCATGCATCAGTAGAAATCTCATAATCCCACCTGTCCAATGGGCATAGAAAATATTCCTAGCCTTCTTGACTTCTAAATTTATTCACCTTGCCTCTGTCTCTAATTCAGAAGCAATTAAATTAAGTTCTAGGATTTAATTCTTAAATTTCTTTAATTTTAAATTTCAGCTGGAGAAAGACAAAAAAGATTTTGTAAATAAATTGGATCTGTATTTTTAATCTGTTTTAATCGAGACTATGCCGCCCCAATATAACTACACATTAAACTATATACCACAACTTTTAATCAAAGAATCTCTAGGTGTATCACAGTTAATTATACCTCATAATATTACACATGAGGAAATGTTCAAAGTTAAATGAAACTTGCTCATAGCAGGGAAGTTTAGGATGATCTGGATATAAAGCTAGATGATGCTAAGTTTGTGTTCAGAATGTCCTCTGAACATACTGTGTAAACAAAACTACACTGAAAGGAGACCAAAAACCTCCAAAGTAAAGTGCTCAGAAAGTTCGGTTGTGCAAGCCAGACACACTGCCTCCGTGCCTAACACCAGGAGATAAACTTTTAAAGAAGATTTTACACTGCTTTTTTTCTGAAAGAGAGTGACTTTTACTGGCCACAAGGTAGTCCTCCTAAATCCTGTCCCCTGAGAGCGTTTTTACACATGCTTCCCTTACTGAAGTAATGTTCTCGCTTTACTATTATGCACCTTAAACCTCCTGCCTTCTTCCTGTGGTTAAAACTAGGATCTAGGGGTAACAATGGGGGCAGCAGTTCTTCAGAAGAAACATTGCACAACAGATTACTTAAAGACACTCTCCCTTATAAAGCATATTCATTCCAATTTTCTTATCTTCTTCTTTTGTCTACCATTTTCTTTTCTTTGGCCAACAAAGGACAGAATTAAGACAAAAAAGGGCTGACAGCCTCCATAGGTTCAGTTCACCTCCCCATAACTGCAGGAAGACAATTGTAGGTAAATGCCTGATCACACCCAGAGCCTGAGGTAGTTGCTCAGGTGGTCATTCTCTAGAGAGAGTCCATGAACAGAGCACAAATCCCAGACATGCTCTGAAGGGTACAAATAACGCAGGCTTAAACTTCATATTCTGTCATTAGCAAGCATGTAACGAGATTTTTTAAAAAGGATGGGGGGGCGCACAAAGCTTTGATGAATTTGCACAAAAATAGGAAATGGTATATTCAAGACAGTAAAGCAGCCACTCTGCTAAAGGTCAAGTCTCTCTTCAAAAGGAATAGCTTTTCTATTTAAAAAAATAATTAAAAAGTTGTTAAACAAGTCAACATAAGCAAAACAGGTTTTGCTCTAAATTCATTCTGCAAAAAAGCTGGAAAAACTTTAAAAATATTCAGCCTGAAGCAGCCACCCACTAGGCAAAGTACTTGCTTGCCTAGTTTAACTTCAAAAAACAGAATATAAACCATAGAAAACAACAACCTCTGTTTTAACTGTAAGTAACCTGTACATATGTAAATATAAAACCAAAAATATAAAACTAAGGTGTATTAAAACAAGATGTATAATTCACATAACTGAATACACTTAGTCAGAAAGCCTAAGGCACAGAAGATTCATCTATTTTCTCTACTTACTTGGCTGCTTCTTCATTAAGGATCTTTAAATAATGTTTTACTGGGGTGAGAAGTTCTGGGATTTCCAACAGTGCATTTTGCAATAGAGGAGTTTCCACATGAGAATGTATGACTGGAACAAGTGCTTGAATTTCCAAGTCCAGACGAGACAGGGTGCTGACTATCAAGAAAAACTCTTGGGTTGAGCACTGGGAAGAGAAGCAATGTCTAAATCATTACAGTGTATTATATTTTCATTAAATCCTACAGGTTTTTTAGCTTTTTGAAAATGAGACAAAATAGTTAAAAACGTATGGACAGTAACACAACTGCATACTCTTACCACATTCAGAAAGTTTAATAAAGCATACTAGTTGTTTCAACTATTGTTGTTAGGAATCAGTTGGGACCTAATCTCCGTTACTCCTGTTGCTGGATGGAAATGTGTAACACATACGCGGTAGACAAATAGCAGAAAAATGGCCTTATAACATGCAAACAGCAAAAAAGCAGGATGAGTAATTTTATAGTACCACAACTTGTCCATATGGGCTTGTGCATCTATGTGCTGTTATCTGAATCACCAAGCTGCTGTTTTGGCAAGAGAGGGTTTGGAAAGACAAGGTCAGGCAAAGAGAGGGAGAGTCTTGGAACAAGAACACAGAAGAGAAAAGCAAAAAAACACACAGAAGGAGAAAACCAGCAGTCACTGCTTTAAGTGCTCGTAGCTATTGCCAGCCTCAGCCTCTGGCTGGTTACTGCCGAGGACACACTAACCCAGTCTTTTGTCTTTCATCTTCTCCTTACTACAGAGTTATGAAAGAGACTTTTCTATTTATTTCAGGCAGCTATCCAGGGCATCATCATAAGGGAATCTCCGAGACTGGTGCCAGTAGCATACAATGCTTTCATGATATCCACAGAGTAGGAGCACACTGGTTACCTTAAAGCAGCTCCTTACCAAAAGCAGTGACTTGTAAAAGAGGAACTATTATGTCTTTCTTTTTAAACCATTAATATTACTTGTGATGCAGCTCAAATATTTTGCTGTTAGATTCTAGATGCTCTTCAGTGTCAGCACAGTTTGTTACTGGTCATTTTCAAGAATTACCAGTCAGGCTCAAGATTTTGCAAACAGTTAACAACGCTAACAAAACAATCTACCATCTGCCACGCTGCTAATTCCCCGAACTCCATTGTCCCATTCAACTCTCAGTTACCTAAGGTATTCATGCCCCACCTATAAATTACATAACAGCAATTCAGAAATGGTCTTTACAGAAGTAAGTTTGCCTTGTGCTACTTCATATTTGCATACCAAATGGAAACCCAGTCCTAGAAGACACTCAAAGCCTTCAAACCCAGCTGAACTTGGTGGCACTCTGGGACATTTCCATTTCAGAAGGTTTGAAAAAAGTCACCCATAAATAACTCTGCTGATATTTTTTTCATATTTTAATGATCTGTAGAAACATTCCTTCTTCAGTCTTCTAAACTTCCCCCAATGGTCAACTGAAACACTGAAAAAATAGTTTATTTTCCTCATGTGGAGATGCAAGAAAGGGGGTAGGAGATACTGAATGCTTCTACTAGAATATTACTTGCATGCCACACTTTTTGCATCCTTCTCTTCCTACATTTTTTTCTCTCTCCTACGCAGGCAACATACAGTCTAGAACTGGATTTCTGGTCAGTATTTTGTGGTGATCAGCACAACACTGATTACAGAACATGCAGGCTTCAGTGAATCACTATTTCATAAAACATATCTGCATTTTTATTTTTTCATCCCTTCTTTTTCAGCTTCTCCCCAGAGGTAAACTTTTGTTTTTCTTTCCTTCCCCACACCCTTATGCAAGAATTAAGACAATTCTCTCATTTATTACATTGTAGTTATTTCTCACAAATTACTGCTGTACCCAAAAACAGAAGCAAGTATCAACAAAAATGCTGGGCTGGAAAGGAACATTTTCTCTCCCTCCCCACCTATGTAAACCCTAAAATAACTGCTCTGTAATGCCTACTAGCACTTCAGAACATGAAGGCTGTCCAAATGCAACCTTCTGAAAACCACAAGAAACAAATTAAGGTACACTCCAGTTACAGCCTTAGCCCTCTTCTCATAAAATACACGTCACTACTGGGACCAGTGATGGAAGAGTGGCCTCCAGGCTGTATAAACACAAAGATACAAATAAGCCCACAGCCTGGCAATCTACTACGGACACTGGAAGTTGTGACTGACAACAATAAGGCTAGAAAGAAAATAAGTTACAAGGTTAATTGCTGTGTTCACCAATTTGCTCTATCGTAACGGTTATACAAAAAAAACAAACCAAACCAAAACATTCCTGGCCATTTAAAATGTGTTCAGTCACAAGTAAGTCCATGTAACTGAAGTAATCACAAAGCCAGTATCTGTTAGATACTCTCTAGCTAACCCAAAGCAAGGCTGTGTGCTGAAGAATAAAACTTGTCATTACAAACAGGCAAGGTTGGTAGATATGACTAAAGGAATATACAATTTAACCATGGTATTTCATGACATTCAGGAACACCAGAGAGATAACATTCTGAATGTTTCTGGAAAAACCAAAGTTCCTCCTTGTTTCAGATCCATGGAAATTAGGGATAGAGAGGCCCATTATGTAGTTTCCCTGCAACTGCTCAATTTCTCTGCATGAGTTTTCTTTTTGTCTACTCTCAGGTACTTATATTCCAAAAAACGAAGTGCTTACCACTTCCTTTCAGAAACTAATCCATAAAGTATCATAATGTAAAAGTTTTATCCAATAGCCTAAATCCCCCTTCTGTTAAATTAATCCCAATATCTCTAATTTTACTCTTTTTATGCTAACGCAATTCCCTCTTTGCTGTTAACACCCTTCAAATATCTCTAAACCTTCTGTTCTCCTTTAATCATCAATTTAACTAAACTATAATATTTTAATCTTTCTTCATAAATAATCTGTTATTCAGCCTCATGAAAATTTTGGTTCTCCCCTGCACTTGCTGCAATTTATCAACATCTTTCTGATAATCTGGAACTTACTTATTCTATCTTGTAAAAGCTCTGACAACAAAATAAAACAAAATAATAAAGCAGTAAATCTGTCAATGGCATTTGAATTCAAAGCACAAAGGAAAGGTCTAAAAGACTAAACAACTGACAAATCCAGGCTTGGACTCAAAGTCAAAGTAAAATACAGTATGACTGACTGCATCATCATCATCATCATCAACCTTGATGGAGATAAAGGATAAAATTCTGCAAGACTTCCCTTGACTCAATGTACTCAAGGAGGCAAAGGCTGAAGTACTGCCATGCAAAACTGCAAAGTAGGTCCCTGACAGACAGCATTAAGTGATTCATAGGAGAATAATGTCCAGAGAAGAAGAACAAGCAAATATGGACAGTAAGAAATACATCAGTTGAATTGGTGGTTGTTTGGGGTTTTTTGTCAAATTGTTCTTTAAAAAAAGAAAGCAAATAAGTACTTAATTAGTACACTGTCTGTATGAGGGTGGGAAAATGAAAAGATTTTAAGAATACACAAGAACACCTGTTTGAGGTGTTCTTCAATAAGGGTGGTGAGGCTGCTGAAGCTGATGCTTCAACGAGGGCAGGAAGCTAGATTTCAAGGCAGTGTCACCCATAAGAAAATCAGCAGGACAAAAAACCCCCAACTTGGTTGTGTACAAAAAGACACTGTAAACGACCCTGACAGTTATCATGAGATTTCTCAAAGGATGCTTAATGAACATCCTGAAGCTTCTCACAGCAGCTCTGACAGCCTACCCACCATAACTGTCATCTAATGAGTTAAATAAAACCTATTTGATCGTACTGTGAGTTACCGTCTACAATCCACTGCAGAATGGGAAACTCAGCATGCTTTACTGAAAACAACTTTTTTAAACACAAAATACCCAAGAAAAAGGGTCAACAATATCCTTTTTGTGCTTATTCAGAGTATTCCTGTTTCCCCTGGCTTGATTTTAGTAACACTGCAGGACTTTGCATCAAAAATCTAATGGCTCCACTGCAGAAATTATTTACTAAGCAAACAGATAATTTAGAACAGATGCATAAAAAAACCCGGGGCTTCATTAAAGTGGGACAGATACCATTTAAACCCTAAGTAACCTTACAAAAGATATAACTTTGTTACAAATTAGAAGCTTTTAAAATACAGTAAAAATTGTTTACATATAGCAGGATTAATAGTCCTGAATTCACGCCAGATTCTCACAAGCTTATTCAATGCTATTTTTGAAGTCTGACTTTGAAATGCTGTCAATGATAGGTACAGCTTCTCTGGCACTAGAAAAACAATTGCAGGATTGACAGTGATGCCCAACAATAGTTTCAACCAACGGTTTATCAAATGGTATGTCTGCCATTGAGAAGAACACATAGAAGATGCACAGCGGTATGCCAGGTCTAACAGTCTTTCAACAACAATGGAAGCAATTTAGCCCTGTTTCCATTAGTGAAATTGTTTCCAACAGATCTAAAAGGGAGCCACAGAGACCCACAATTGACAGCCATTCACAACTCCAAGTTAAAAGAATTTCTAATAAAAATATGGGAGTTGAAATGCAGCATATATTTATCATCCTTTTCAAACTGTAGTAACTACCTTTATGTTTTTAGTATAGTGAGCATACTATTTTTGGTTTAGGAAAAATGAGGTATTTAATTTTAAGGATAGTATGTCCCCTTGTTATGGCACTATTTATATTAATCAGCTTAACAGGAACAATTTGCTCAAATCAGCATTTAGTACTGCAAATCTAAAAATATCTGTGATGCAAATTCTTTAAAAAAGTACAGTATATGCAAGATGCGTATGACACTATAACAGAAGAAAAAATGTAAAAAAATTAATACATTTTAGCTGAAGTCAATAATAAGTTATGCTACGGGGAGAATTCATGTTTAACATTCTATACAAACGGTAACTAATTTCCTGAAATTTTGATTTAGTAAGAGAAAAAAAAATCAGAAATACAATATTTTTCTCTGAATCTTATGCAAATCACACAATCTTCATGAAGTATCAAACATACCTTCCAGGGAAGGGCACATTGTCATCATCATTCTCATTGACAAGCTTGTCTGAAAGATTCTAAACACTTTTGCACCAAGCTGATCAGCAGCCTTTTCCTCTGAGGAGAGACGAGCATGACAGTGAAGTACTGAAGTATTCACTGCAAAACTGAAAGGGCAAATCCCACAAGGAGGCTGTAGGCAGCCAAGCAGCAAACTTGTAGCTGCTTGTAGCAACTGTTTGACAGGTAAGTGGTGAGCAGCCTGGTAAGCGGACAGCAAAGTTTTAGAGATTGACTCAGAACGGCACAGGTCTTCCCAACTGCAGCAACACGTGAGGAACTCTAAATGAGGGAGAGCCTATGGCTGGAGCTAGGACCACAACAAACTGAAATGACATTTGCTGCCCTAAGAAGGTTTGATTATTGACCTCACTTCCTGTGTAGGAGTTCAGTGAAACAGCTTCACTTCAACCTGTTCTGCAAAGTCAATGACCATTTGTTATGATGATTCCTGGTGACTGAGCTTTAGTGAAAAAATAATGTTTATTGAGCAAAGGTTACAAATAAGATAAAACTTTTATGGATCAAGCCTGTATAAATATTTATCTTCTGAAACACACTGCATAAAACCAGGCATGAAACCAGCAAGCAACATCAGGATGGCCCTGTAGGACACATTTCTAAAAGTACTGATGGTATGTTTAATCTGTACTGGTTTTTAGACCTACTCAAGCATAGGTCTCTTGACATTCTGTGCATTCTAAGGCACTTTAACTGAGACAAAAGAAGTAGGGCCCTGCCATTAATATTTTCCACTCTCCTGAGATGCAGATCACAAAAGGAACTGCATGTGGCCTAAATTTTGTTCTTCTATTTGGTGGCTCTCTCCAGGGGATAGAGGGCATGGCTAAACTGCTCATGGAAAATAGGAACATTGAGCCAATCCATCTTCCAGAAAGATCTAATTCTGCATCATCTAATTCTGCATCATCTCTAGACACTGTTTAGACAAAACTCTTGATATTTCCCTCTCAGTTTCCTTTTGAAGTCAGCTTCTGAATGCTACCAAGAAGTCTTCAAAGAGTTAATCTCCAGCCATCCTCCTCTTGCCATAAAGAAGGATGAGGCAATTCCGCTGTTGACAGCATTTCTGCTGGATAATATCTCAGGTGCTGGAGCTGCAGGAACTGAGAAGAACAACCACTCCTTGTATTAATTCCACTTGCCATAGCAACAGTAACATTGCTCTTGTCTCCTTAACCATTCCCATAGCCCTTTTCCAAACTGGGGCAAACTCAGAGCTGGTAATATGACCTCCAAGGTAGTATCTAACTTCCCCTACAAGAATGCTGTTCTAATTCTAGATTGCTCATACCTTGGGATAGATTAGCAATGCTTTTTTGGTGGTTGGGGGTAATGGGAACTTGTGGACCATCAGATTAACAATTACCAGGGTGCTACCACACAAGAATCATTAGCAGACTTATTAAAAAAAATTAACAGTCACACCAGGAAAATATACAGTGGTGTTATTTACCAGAAGAGCTTCCACAAGGATGCTTTTTCTTGCAAAGTCAGTTCCAAAACGGGGCATTGTTTTGCCTTATTTTTTTTTTCCTGTCTCCTCCAGAGGTTACTGGTGCAAAGTGCATTGCACAATAAAAGTTCTGCAGTGGCTAATCCAAAAGAAAGATGTTTGGAATGCCTGAGACAATCCAGCCACCTCTGTACACTTCAGAAGTCTCACTTCATGAAACATACCTCCTCAAAAACTAATGTCACTGAAGTCTAAAGGGCCTGAAGGATTAAATACTTGTCACATTCACCTATTTTTCCTACAGTTGACACTGAATTAACAATCCTGCATTACAGCATGTTCCTTCATTTAAGTCATCAGTGTGCTCTACTTAAGAGTTTCGGAACCCTTAGTGAGAATGAAATTGCAGGGAACCTCATGTTGAGCAAGTGGGAGATGGACATCTGGAATTAACAGAACTGGAAAGGCTACCAGTGGGAACTGAAACGGCAGTATTTACTGGATATTCTGAAAAAAAATATTCACAAAAATCAGTTACTTTGTGTTCTTGAATATGTATCTGCTTTGCAGGGATCTTTCTTCAGGCTCCATACTCACTGTCTGTCTAGACTGCAGAATCTGTTTCCCAGAGTCTGCTTTTGATTCTTTATTCAAAACAGATTCTGTCTTTCAGGGACACTGTCATCTCCTCAAAGTCCTAAAGATTTTCAGTGCTTTGGGCACTCTTCACAGTGTTCTGCAATGGATGACAAACTAGATTTTTACCACGGCAAGCTAATTCATCAAAGGAAAAGTGTGTGCTTGGAGCTCCTCCCCCCCCCCCCCCCCCCCCCCTCCCCCCTTCTTAATGTAATGATTCTACTGGAGTACTTCTGTTCTCCTGAAACTTCTTTCCAACATATGATTCACTAAACACACATCTTCATGCTACAGTGGCTGTCGTTAAGACAAACTGCATTGTCACCTCATTGCAAAAATCATATGAAAATCCAGGGCCTCTGAATGGTTCACCTAAATGCTGGCTTTAAGCTGAGAAGGGTAAGCAGCCCTACAACAAAAAGGACACCTGAAGAAACAGACTAGTGGGGAAAAAAAAAAAAAGGGAAGAACAGCAGAGCAGTGGAAGACTGCGAGGATGCTGTGAAATACAGATGTATCCATACAAACCTTATTACATATCACTCAACCTGAAATGAGTTAAACCTAGGGGTGTTGGTTGACAGCTGGCTGAACATGAGCCAGCAGTGTGACCAGGTGGCCAAGAAGGCCAACGGCATCCTGGCCTGCATCGGAAATAGTGTGGCCAGCAGGACTAGAGAAGTGATTGTGCCCCTGTACTCGGCACTGGTGAGGCCACACCTTGAATACTGTGTTTAGTTTTGGGCCCCTCACCACAAGAAGGACATGGAGGTGCTGGAGGGAGTCCAGAGAAGGGCAACAAGGGTGTGGCGCACAGGTCTTACGAGGAGCGGCTGAGGGAGCTGGGGTTGTTTAGTCTAGAGAAGAGGAGGCTGAGAGGAGACCTTATCACTCTCTACAACTACCTGAAAGGAGGGCGTAGTGAGGTGGGTGCTGGCCTCTTCTCTAAAGTAACAAGTGATAGGACAAGAGGAAATGGCCTCAAGTTACACCAGGGAAGGTTTAGGCTAGATACTAGAAAAAAATTTCTTCACTGAAAGAGTGATCAGGCATTGGAACAGGCTACCCAGGGAGGTGGTTGAATCACCATCCCTGGAGGTGTTCAAGAAACGTGTAGATGTGGTGCTTAGGGACATGGTTTAGTGAGTTAGGTGGTGTTGGGTTGGACTTGATGATCCTTGAGGTCTTTTCCAACCTTAATGATTCTATGATTCTATGATTATCTAATTCCTGGACAGCTGTTTTGAAAGAACAATTGTATCATGTGGATATGGTACATTTCAGAGGATGAGGAAGTTGGTACGTACTCCCTCTTTTCATAAACTTCATTACAGCTGGATCTCTGTATCCATTCACTGAAATATGCAAGTCTTTCCATGTGCTTAACACTGCCATGTATTGGGGCTTTAAAAATTATACAAGAACTGAAGTTCAGACTTTCAGAGAGAAGAAACCTTTGTGCTGTACCACCCAACAAAATTAAAAGTTCACTCTCCTTCTTTCCACCTGTTCCTTTATCTAAAATAGTTAAAACCTCTAAATATAACAGTGAAATAAAAGAACATGAAGTACTGCACAGGTTCTATTAGCACATTAATCTGCTTCAACTAACAACTGTCAGTGTCTCATTACAAGTAATTCTTATTAAAATGTGCAAGTGAGATCCAAATTACAGAATTTATAAACAAATTAACATTCATTTGAAAACAGCTAGCTACAGCCAAGTGGTTTTGCTTGCAAGTGTGATTTTAGACAAGCATACAGAATGCAACGCTTTGTTTCAAAGGGAAATATTTATGGCACAAGGACCTATTGCACCATCCCATCTCACTGAATCCAGCCACTAAGCTGTAAGTGCACAGATGTTTCTCCTGTTAGTGTTAGCAATACAATGTACATATTCTAGATCCCCACTCAGACATTTCTTCTATCAGCATTATCACTGATAACAAATAAAATAAGATTCTACCATAAGGCAAAAATAATCTTTATAAACTTGCATCCCTTTATTATGTCAGGCACAGTCTGCTAACAGGAAAATATTTTTAAACAAACACACAAAAACTATGGAAATACATTAAAACAGAATGGCGTCATTCAGAAAATAATATATTAGGGCAATTATGGGTATACCTTTTTGTGAAAAACACTGCAGAGGCCTCTCTCTATATCTGGCAGCTTACAAAGAAGATTTCGAATTTGACCAAACACACTGGATTCTGACTGTAGAATTTCAGACACAGCATCAAGACGGGCATTTATTTCACTGCAAAAGAATAATCATAAGATAAATAAATAAAACTTATGTTTCTCTGAGAGGAAGCATATAGCAGCTGAACTTTTTCCTTTGGTTTGTTTTGGTTTTGTTGTGGTTTTTTTTTTTTTCCTAGAGTTTGACTAAGGCCATATTCTCATGAGAAGGTAAGTAGAAGAATTAAGAAATGCAGAGGATCTTGGGCTTTCATTCAAGATGAAAGAAAGATCCTGGATATAAGCTCATTATCCCCTTTCTATGCTCAAAACAGCCAAATGCACACTTCAGTGGCTGTCTCTAGATGTTCTTCTAGTGGTACATAATATGAGCAGCACTGAATCCTGAATATCCAACCCTAAATTTCAGTCAAGTAGCTGGAGGAGGGGCAAGGGGAGTCTACATTTGAACCCTACATAGCACATTTTATTCCAAGCGGGTATAAATATTGGTTACAATTTTGCCCCTCTATTTGTGATCCAGACCAGCCATTGGTAATTACATGAATCAGAACCACATTGGGTTTTTGGCTTTTTTTTCCCCTCAAAACCTGTAACATTAATCTCCATATTTCAGTACCAAAGTCATTCAACGAGTAAACACTTTTATGCAAAAGAACAATTCTACAGTTATTTGCACTTACAATCATATTCTTACAGCTACAGAAAAGAGCTTTAAAATGGACAACACACTCTCAAGGTTCACCTCGATTTACACTGCTGCTAATGGCACAACTACAACTTCCAATGTATCTATCAACTGGATGTAGGTTGCAGAACTAATGGAAACTCCATCTCTCCTTTTTGTGCAACCAAATTGCCTCAATGCTGCTTTTCCAGGAAAAGACTAAGATGAGGGGTACACAAGTGCATTCAAAACATACAGGTTAGGAGTATATCTTTGGGAGCTAGTGAACCAAAGCACTGTCAGCGCAGACAGCACAAAGGAAACAGAGTGAAAGATAGCAAGCTCACCGTAAGACAGCAGTGAAAAGATGTGTGTCAAAGCTGAGTAATACAGTTCCTCTGAATGTAGCTTTTCCATGTTCAGGCTTTATCTCTGAGGTAACTATGTGTACTACAAATAGAGTCAACTCAGTGAAAGCTGCGCTAAGATTTGCTGAGGTTTCACAACAAAAACATCTGCTCCAGATCATAGGTTTCCCTAGAGCCCCTCACCAATGTGCTGCTGGGCGTGCCCTGTGGGTACCAGCACACTGGACAGCTTTAGCTAGCATTCAGAAAGTTTCCAGCAAGTAAGGCTAGATCTGAAACATGACATTCCAAGAAACTTTAAAAACCCTCAAGACATCCCAGTGCTTACTTTAAAATCTTTGTGTTTTCCTCCAGAATGACAACTGTGCCTTATCACAACATTCTCCTCCTGAGACAAGAAAGTTCAAAAAGCCACATGCTGCTATGTGTGAGTCCGTCCACCCTTGCAAGTTCAGAAGAAAGCAGCCTTTTGATACTGACACTTCATACCAGCCAAGTGTGTGCAAGGCAAATACAGCCCAGACAACATCCGTTTTAACAGACTGGCAAGATGCTTAGAGCTCAGCCAGCACAGGGGGATAAAAAGTATGGATGCAATCAAAACGCAAGATTTTGAGGAACACTGCCTGTCTTGCCCATGGCTTTTATTGCTGAACTGCCATGACACTTGCCACTGTAGCTGCTAACAAATGCTACTGATGAGGAGATCAATGGAATTAGGGAGCTCCACCAGCTGCAGACATTACAATAGACTGGCAGTCAAAGGCCTCTGGCCCTGAAGACAGCTAAATCTAAGAGCCCTTGAAATTTTATTACATGGCATGTGAAAAGAAGACCATCATGACTGGTTGTGCACTTGGACACGCATAAATCTAAGGGCATTTAAGTGCCAGGATTTTTTCAGTGACATACTGCTTTATACCAAAACAGTAAAACCATCCCCTCATCTGTCACAAATGACACACATTAATTCCCAGAGCAGCCCTGCTGTACAAAGCCAGGATTTGCAGCATGAACTGGGGACACACTCTCTGCTGTCTTGACCCCAGACTCCTTGGGAACTCACTCTGTTATCTCTGAACTGGACAGCAGGCTCTGCAATCATACCACAAGACCCAAAATATTCCACTACCCTAAAGGTCTGCTTTTCCCAGCCCTAAGGAAAACAGAAATGTCAGACTTTGTAGGCTCTGCTTAGCAGCTCTGTTGCAGGTCACAAGAATACCTGCTTCTTCCCCACCACCATTCCATTCCTCCAACAACACCAAACACACAAAATTAAACATTTCTCCTGTTCCTCTGGGCAGCCAGGCAACTGGCAAGCAACAGCAGCAGAGAGCAGGTACCATCAGCGCAACTGCTCAGACCTAAAGTGGCTGTTTTCAGCACAGAACACATCCGAGCTTTAAATCCGATACTTAAGAGCCACAATCACGTATCTGGTGTACGCTGGCATGGTTACTAAAAGTTATGCAACCAAATAACCAGAGGAAGCTGTTAGCATCCACACAGCATATTCAAGACAGTAGAGATTTAAGCTTTGTACATCAATTAGTAAGGCAGTCTAAACTACAGCTGGATAACAGAAAGGAAATTGATGAGCGTTAATATCAGTGACAAAGTAATAAAATACCCCAAATACACAGCTTTGAAGTTAGCAAATGGTTACACTGAAATTCTGAAAGGTCAGTATCATCAGCCACAATTACATTTTCATAAAGAATTATTAAATCCACTGTACTTGAGACCTGGAAAACTCTCTGTGAAGGAGTACTGAACTGTTAAATTAGAAACACATGTACCTTAAGGAAGAAAATAATCTGTATTTTTATTATAAAAAGCATATGTAAGCAGCAGCATGCTGTTCCAGAACACTGTCACTTAATTTAAAAAGCACGATTATATCTATGGGGCCAATTGAAAACACACAGTAATATGTAAAATAGATGCAAATAATCAAAAAACTCCTCCTTTCAAACCTTAATCTGCACTTTAATCATCCTCACATATGGCTATGTTACTGTAGCTCCAGTAATCTAAAACTAAGCATCCATACAGTTTTTTCTGCTTTAATCCCGCAAATAAGAAAGGGTCAGGAAAACAGCAGCCAGTATCAAATGACCCATTTTTTCCAGCTGTAAACAAAACATACTGGGATTCCTATTTCAAAAGCCAGAAAGTACGGTGAAGAATTCCATAAAACTACACATGTATGAGGAGGAAAGAACAGAGAAGAGAAATGATAAAAACAGCCAGATGATGGATTTCAAAGTATGCTTTAAGTTTTAAATAGTTAAACTAATAAACACTTTGTAGAGCCCAGACATATTATACTGATCAGCTGTTACGTTTAACAACCTCAGAAGAAATCTGTTCTGCACTACACAGTTATTCAGTACATTTGATACACAGTTTGGGGTTTCTAATCTCTGCAGAATCTGGAAAAAAATTCCACCACTAGGAAATCTGAATCTAATATTATACAAAGAAACTCAATAGCTTATGCTAAGAAACTGTCTCACGTTTTATGCACTGGCTACTACTCCATTCCCTATTTTGATGCTATATTAACCTGTTCTTTCCCATCTGTATAAACTGTGCCAGCAATCTGAGCTGTCTCCACTTTTCCAAACAATCTTCTGTAAAATAATGTAACATAAATCAACAAAACATGTAACATTTTTGACTAAAAGCAATATGCTTACTTCTGCCATACTCTCCAACTAAGAAGAAGCACCATGAATCCTAAAATCACTTTGCAATGTATTTAAACACAAAAAAAACTCACTGCAGAATTTTTTATTCTAGTAATTTAAAAACTTACTTTAAATTAAATAATGAGATACTTTCCTGTATTATTCTGCTGCTAGATATCTGAACAATACAGAAAATTAGCAAATATGAAAATATTTGAATCCTGAACTAAAAATTATTTTGACAAAGCAGAAAGCTGCAGCTATGAATGCACTGCACTGAATTAACATCTGAACATCTTAACAATCTAAATTGCATTACTGGTTGCTAGTGCGCTGATCACTCGTGCAATGAAGCAAATCTAACACTTTTAGATATGATAGTATATAATTACATTTAAAGCAGAGAGAAATTGATAATGTAACCGCTGTATAGAACTGCAGAAAATTTTTTGTCAAGTAAGTTTTGTTTTTATCCATGATAAATAAATACAAATTTATGAGAAATCTCTTAACTTATTATAAATGCACAAAGTATGAGTTCATTCATCATGGTAAGGACATAGCTCAAGTACACTGACTGTACAAAATTGAAATTCATTTCATTAAATCTCTCTAGAGACCACAGCAATACGTAAAACTACCAATCACAAGAACTCAACACCTGAAAAAATAAAATTAAGCATATGAAACAACAAACATTGCTTTCTGTGAACTATATTATCTAGATCAAAGCCTAGCAGCCTCCTGCCTAACTACAGCATTTCAAAGAAAGAAAATGTATTACTTAAACATTGGGAAAATGCAAGACACACATGGGTATCAGCTGTGCCTGAGGAAGTCCCTGAACTGCGAACTGCTGGAAGCTGGGAGAGTGGTCTAGGGCGGTAACATTATCCAGTTGCCTTGTTCTCATGCTCTCCTCTCATATTGGCTGCTTTCAAACACAGGGCAAAGCAAAGGTTAGTCTGACTTCACACTCATACATTCTTCCTTGACCTTCCTTCAGAAGACTTTATATGAGTTGATCAAATCAAAGGCACTGTTAAATAGTACAGAGTGTTTTCTGCTTTAGACCACTCTCTCACAAGCAATTAATGCCATCAAAACCCAAAACCACAGTACAATTACCACTATGCAATCAATAAACTGCATATGTCTTTTTGAAGAACAAGCAAACAAAAAACCCAGTCTATTGCTGGCTTTTTTACTTTAGTGGCTATGTTAGAATCTGGCTAACTTTATGGCATAAATCTTGAATTGTTAAATGGTGCTGTGACCGCTGGAATTTTATGCATTAGCAACAAAGAAAAGGTACAAAAAAGGG